TTCTTGCAATTATTAAATTGTACACTAAATTGTATAGTAAAATTCTGATTACTATTGTAGTTGAGTGTTCATCTGCAATTTTTGTTCCTACAATACTAAACCACATGTTGCATCATATTTTGTATATTTTTTGATTTTATATAATATATATTTTTCGTTAGTTTTTATTCTTTTCACATAAATCAATAGCTTTTAATTCGTAGAAATAAAGATTTTCTACTTTCACATGATTTTAAATCGGATTAAGACTGCTGTTTATGTGTTATGCTCCTTTTACTTTCCGATTTCTTGTCGTAATACTTCAAATTTATTTTTCCTGTACTAGATATGACAAAAAGAGGGCTAACGATAATTTTCTTTCTAGTTGAAGTTACGTACAGTAAATTCTCCCTAATTGACGTTCAGCTTGCAAACAAAAATGAACAATTTCGACTCGTTTTCATGACAACCGATTGTCAACAACTGTAAAAAACGAGTCGCCGTGCTATTTAGTAAATAATAAATCAACAAAATAATCGTACCCCCTCTTCCCAAATTGTCCATTTTTGTTTCCAAGCGGAGCGTCAATTAATTTATACTTCCTACCTCGTTGGATCGGCTGCAATTGTGACCATCTTTTCCTCGTGCCGTAAGAATTGCAACATCGATTATTTATTCCCCACAAATATGTTCCACTTATCTCTAAAAGTATTCGGAATCGTCGCGCATTGGGAAACACTGTTCCAGCGATATACTTCATTCGCCGATCGAATTGTAAAAATAATCGCGTCAGCGTTGACCACCGAGCACGATCGTCTTTTTTCTTCCCTTTCCATCGATGTATCGGATCGTCTAAAAATATCGATCACGAACAGATTCCGCGATGGTTGCTCAACGAAAGATGATGCAATGGCGCCATTCATTGTTTGTCATGCGTTTAAAATACCGTATTACTAGACTGTGAATATTTATACGGCGAACGGATTCTCGTGGTCGGTGGTAAACAGACGATAAATAGCGTTACAAGGGAAACGAAAGACCGAGGCTCTTCTTCTCGATCTGAGAGCATTATGCTCTCGACTCGTTCGCGGGGAGAAATTTCGTTTTAGAAAAGTCTCGCATTCTGCGAAAGCGCTTCATGAAAGGAAGAATTCGAATTCTGGACGCGCGTTGTTAGAAAATCGCGTCCACGAATTATTCGTGCGACGCGGCGGTGTACAGTAAATTCTCCCTAATTCACGTTCAAATTGCACGGTAATTTCTCCCTAATTCGCGCTCAGATTGCGCACAAAAATGGACAATTTGGGAAGAGGAGATACGATTACAGTAATTTCTCCCTAATTCGCGCTCAGATTGCGCACAAAAATGGATAATTTTGGGAGAGGAGATGCGATGATTCGAGCTTTGCGGCTCGTTTTTATAGTCACCGATTGTCAACAACTATGAAAAGCGAGCCGCAAGGCTCGAATAATCGCATCTTCCCTTCCCAAATTCTCCATTTTTGTGTGAAATCTGAGCGCGAATTAGAGAGAAATTACTGTATTCGAGCCTTGTGGCTCGCTTTTCATAGTAATTGACAATCAGTAACTATGAAAAGAAAGCCGCAAAGCTCGAATATACGTATAATCGTACCTTCCCTTTTCAATATTTTTCTACGCAATCTGAGTGCGAGTTAGGAAGGAATTACTGTGCAAAAAAATGAACAATTTGGGAAGAGGAGATACGATTATTCGAGCCTTGCACCTCATTTTTATAGCTATCGATTGTATCTCTTCTTCTCAAATTGTCTATTTTTGTGCGCCATCTGAGCGTAAGTTAGGGAGAATTTACTGCATATCGTGCAGAAAATTCTGATTTTCCGAATCGTTGGGGCGAGAGAAAATCGCGAGGATAGAATTAGATGTATGTATATTCATTGTGCACGGTGTGCTACCGATCTAACTAGAATTCAGCGACTACGGGCATTGTGCAGCTATTACAGTGAAACTATACAGAGAACATTAAAAATCATAGTGAAGAGCGTATATACGGCGATTAAACAGAAGCTAAGATTCAAGAGAAGGTCACTTACTTTCTCCATTGTGGAATTCTGCGAGTAGCGCAAATAAAATAACAGAGGATCGGGAACAAAATAAAAAACGCGTTAGTATCCATTCGTTCATAAGACATGGTTGATGAGAGATGACGACATAAAGAAAATGGTGTCGAGAATCTGAATCTAGCGCAACTTTTACAGATTTTCGAATAGGTAATCGTATACAAAGAGACATGTTATTTTGTAAATTGGTTCACGTTTTCTTTTGTATGTAGCACGTGGGCAACGGGTGTGTCGCTAATTTGAAAATTCGTTCTTTCTGGTAAGTTGCTTCCGTGCCATGGAGAGGGTCGCTTCTTTTTCTCCGTTTTCGATTTGTTTGTTTTTTCTTTTGGTTTGGTTTTGTTTTGGAACTTTCGAAAACCCGCAATCATCACACGCAAGCCACTTTTGTCTAGTCGTACAAAACTACAAAACAGGATAACAATAATAATTATGTATTATAGTAGAGACGCAACGAGGGCACACCACTCACACACTGCGGAAAAAAGAGATACGTCAGGACAGCAACGTAAAGCAGATCGCATCGAAATCTGTTCGATCATTACGTCGATCATTTGTTCAATCTTTAATTCGATCATGTGTTCGGTAGTTAATTCGATCATTTGTTCAGTCGTTAATTCGAGCATTTGTTCAGTCGTTAATTCGATCATTTGTTCAGTCGTTAATTCGTTCATTTGTTTAGTCGTAATTTCCAGCATTTGTTCAGTTGTTAATTCATTCGTTTGTTCAGTCGTCAATAAAACCATTTATTCAGTTATTAATTCAATCATTTATTTAATCGTTAACACATATTTGTGTTGTTATTTCATGTGTAACTATTTTTACCAAATTGATTTTTTGTAATCGTTGCTAGCAAATTTGGAAAATTAATTGAGGAGAATTGAACTTAGGAAATAATTTTCAAGTCAAACATTTGGTGAAAATAGCACTAAATTAATAAAATTCAAAAGGTGTCTGCACTTTGATAAAAATAGATATTTCTTGTGTTTATGATAACGAACAAGGATAATTACAAGAATATTTAAACGGTATATTACGGAAGTAGAATCTCTTCTAGATTGAAATAAACTATATATAATGAAATGCAGTTATAATCTTTTTTATCAAGAAACTCTTCTTTTTGCAATAACAAAGGAAAAAGTATTCCACAAAATTAATTTAGGCAGTAAAATCTCTCACAGATTGAAATAAACTATATAATGAAATGCAATTATAATTTTTTCCTATCGACAAACTCGTTTCTTTTGCAATAACAAATTAAAAAGTATTCCAGAAAATTAATTTAGGCTGTAAAATTTCTCATAGATTGAAATAAACAATATAATGAAATGCAATTATAATTTTTTCCTATCGAGAAACTCGTTTCTTTCGCAATAACAAATGAAAAAGTATTCCACAAAATTAATTTAGCGGAAAAAATAAAATATGGCGGAAGGCCAATGACTTTTATCTGCGATGTAACTCGTAAGACGTAATGTTTGTTGAGAAAAAGTGAACCTCTTATCATCGCGCTTTATCAAAAATCCGTCAGAAAAATTAGCATCCGCACAAACATCCGCAACGATACCAAACAGCTTGTATCTCTGACGCGAACTGAACAAAATAAACACAGTTATCGACAGATTTCGGTGCGTATGCGAAAAACGGCTTGAACTCATTACGTAACGGGGGGTCAACCGAACGAACAGCAGCCACTATACTATGAGGAAGACGTGTGTAACATAATTTAAACTGTCTAAAAGACGAACGATTCTTTCTCCGTATTTACAGGAGCATTCCGAACAATTATCTTGTGCACACAGCTTGTGTTTACCGTTTTATCCGTGTAAGATAATCAACGTAAATCTAGGAATTAGTACGATCTCTAAAACACCTGGCAAAAAGTATCGGGAATACCATTTAAATCGCGATCATTTTTTCAATACTGAACTAAGTATCTTGAATTTTTTTAATGCCAATGAAACTAGTTTACCGTGCAATGACTAAAATAACTTTTTTTTTATTAATTTTGCTATCACTTGGAATGGCAAAAAAAAGATAAAAAAGGTCTCGTTTTTTAACGTTTTTGGGATGACAAAAAGATAAAAAGAAGCCTCGTTTTTTAATATTTTTGGAATGGTAAAAAGGTAAAAAAGAGCCTGGTTTTTTAACGTTTTTGGAATGACAGAAGGATAAAAAGCTCTCGGTTTTTAACAAAGTCCATAAGAAAACTGCGATTTTCACTATTTTTAATTGTTTGCGACCCATAACAATGTCGATGAAATTTTCAGCGTGCATATAATTTATACAAGATCAGATAAAGAAACGTTGAAAAACGAGAGCTTTTTCATTTTCTTTTATCATCATTCCAGGTAATAACAAAACTGAAGAAAAGTATTTCAGCCATTGTGCAATAAACTAATCGATTAGAAACATTTAAGAAAAATTCTGGTCGATCGGTTCAGTTCTAAAAAAAAATTATCGCGCTTGAAAAGGTGTTCGAATACTTTTCGCCAGGTGTGGTGCAAATAAATGCATCTTAACCTAACCAATAAAATAATGTTCTTTAATCATCTCGCAAACAGCGAGATCACTTTGCATCGAGAACTAATGACAAACAAAGAGACCATTAGTTTCTAAACTCCTACACATAGAAACGGAAAAATAATAAAAAGGGCATGTTGTACCTGTCCCTCCACATTCCTTGTCCTTTCGACATGGTACCAAAAGCTGCCAGCGATGTGTTTAGGGACTCTAGGGACGCTCTAATCTCGGAACAAAATCTGGTATGATTATGGATAACAGTTTCATATCATGCGCATGCTTGTTCTGTTTCATTTCGTGCACTTTTCTCACACATACAAACTCTCTATCTTTCTGTCACGATCATTTTCTCCGTGTCTCGTTATTCTCTTCCTTCCGTCACTTTCGGAACAGTTCTTCAAGAAACGTGTGGAAAACCGTACGGCAGAAGTACCTATTATGGAACGCTTTTCACACCGATTTCATTGCTTCGTGAGCATTCATTTGTGTCGATTGATGTTCCCAGATAACGCAATGGACTTTGAAATATTTATTTAATACGGACAAAAAAAGAATACGAGCAAAATAGTGCGGTACGAAATAACAAATTGAAGTACACAATATGGAACAGTACGTTTTTGCTTAGAAACGATTTTCTTTTCACTGCTAATTGTTACATTACAGTGCTTATGCGAGTGAATTTATGAAGCAGAATGTCCAAAAATGTCGGTAGAATTTTTACGTACAGTTTCATATGCTCTATCTATTTTTCTTTTATTGTACCGTTTGTGCTACTGTTTCACAAGAAGCGGTCACAATTGAGCGGTGTTTCACAATAGGTACTTAAACCTTGATACAATTTTCCATGCAAGTGGGTGCAAATTGCTCTGGTATGAACGCGGTTAGGGCAACGCCAGGAAAACGTTTTAAGGCCACGAAGATCTACTTAGCCAGAACGTAACTCGAGGTAGAAAGGTAGAACCCGGCCGTTGTTCGTGCAGTACAATGAGCGTGTTGTGTTGTATTAACTGGGAGAGCCGCGGCGCAAATAGACAACGCAAGACCGACCCTTGTTAAAAAAAACTCTGTTCATCAGTTTTAAGTTTCAGTGAAAATGAAATCTCGTAATTTCTAAAAGTCTCTTTTTCAAAATTGAATGCTTCTTGGGAATGATAACATTCCTGACAAAATTATATTTTGAGATATTACCTATCAAATTTTTGTTAACTTAATTGACAAAATACTGGTACAATTAATTTTTCGGATTTTCTGTCCAATTATTGCGATATTAAGTTGGTAAATTATTAACGTATAAATCTGTTCCAAAGGAACAATAATTAATATTTCCATCTACCAATGTAGAAAAAAGCGAATAATCTCTCAGTGCATACAAGCTACAAATAAACTCCAAATTGATGCGAAGATCGACGTTCAATGTTTTCTCCAATGAGAGAAGCTGATTTTCCAATGAAAAAAAGCTGGTCATTGTACTGCCGACTAGAAAATCCGCGCGAGATACGACCGATTTCGTAGAGTTAGTGATAGACAAGGCACCCAATCGGCTCGCATTCCGTCAAAGAATCGTTCATCCAAAAACTATACGTCAAGTAACAACATGCTTGTATCACTAATGTAATCTAGTATGTAAAACTGCTACGAGCAATAATAAACGACGTAAACGTGGCGCCAAGCGATTGATTCTTGTCCAGCTGGTCCGAGTTCCGGTTACATAAACGTCAAAGCTGATCGCATTCCTAGGTAGAGATGCGACTATCGATTGTCGATATTGTAGCAATACCTTATCGAAACTTGACGATGTATCGATTACCGTCAATATAAAATATCGTCGTGGCAAAACGAAGGCACTGATCGTATAGATTTATCGAGACGCATACTTTATATGTATATTGCAAATTGTACGTGGTACACATTGTAAACATAAATATGTGCACATTTGGATTGGTATATGAACATTTAGATCAATTTATGCAAGCTCGATATATTGGTAATATCATTAAAATATCGTTTAGGCAAATTACGAGACTAATCGTATATGCATAATAATGTAATATATATCTATAATAATCTAATATGTATATTTATTAAAATGAATATGTGTTGCATATTGTAAAAAATATATTATCAATATAAATATGTGATTTTCATCTATCCACGTTGTTTTATTATAATCATCATATTTTACTTTGATCAGCTGAGAT